ACCGGCTCCCATCCAGCCCCAGGACAGGGGATCAGCTACTGGAGACCCTTCAAGTTCACGAGCCAGAGGACGTCAGAATTGCCGGGGTTACTTCTTGTGACGCTGATTTCCCAAAGCTGCAAAGGGGATCAACCGTGGAGAAAACGCCCGGCGTTGCGATTAACGCGAGATTCTGGGTTTGGCTGCAATGGAGGGGGAGGGAAGCCAGGCAGCTCCGGCTAGGTCGGGCCATAGAGCTAACCGTGCTAACCACCCAGCCCAGAGGAGGCGCCGGGATCCAGTGGCTGGCGGGGCTGGAGTGGAAGCCAGGACATGTGGGTTCTGTTCCTGGCTCTTGCCCTTCCGCTCTCTGGGTCACTGGGGAGAGAACCCAGGAGTCTGGGCCCCCAGTTTCCCCCTCCTCTAACCACTAGACCCCACTCCCATAGCCAGCTTCCAATCCCGCCCCCTTCCTCGGGGGGCTGGATTGGGACAGGAGCAAAGTGGAGGTGAAGGGCTGTCGGTTTCTCCCGAGCATCCCACAGCTGCTGTCTTTGGAGTAACCAGCCCCCGGACAGATGGGCGACCGGAATTCCCAAGTGCCTGCCGAGTGGGGGTGGGCTGGGCCAGTCTTGCTGAAGATTCGGTCCGATTTCTCAGGGCTGCATTCAGCATCACCCAGCCGAGGCCCTGGCCCCCTCGAGCAGCTCTCTGGGCCGGCCCTTCCCCTCCACGCTGGCCAGCCCCCCAGCTCTGATGCCCATTGTAAACTGAGGCACGGGGCTTCTGTGGCAGAACTGGGCGCTGTCCCAGGCTGGATCGTAAGCTCTTTGGGACAGCGACTGTCGTTAATTGTCTGTGCAGCGCCCGGCGTGACAGGGCCCCGATCCTGGTCAGGGGGTGTCTGTGCAGCACTGTGCCTGGCGTAACAGGGGCCCCGAGGTCAGGTGGGGGCATTTCTACCATAACAACAACAAGGTCTTTTTAAAACAATCTAAAGCTGGGGCATTACTTTTTGTAGGACCCACACAAACAAATCCCTCTACGGAGAAAGAAACAAACCAGAGGGAAGGCCCGGATTTTTACCAGGGAGGGCTGTTAATCCTCGGAAGAACTCACCTAGGGACAGGGTGGATTGCCCGTCTCTGGATGTCTTTTAATCAGGACTGGGTGTGGAAGATCCATGAGAAGCAATGGGCGCTATCCCAGGATAAATGCTGGACATTCTCCGGCCCGTGTCACCCTGGGCAGATTGACTCCTTGCAGTGTTGGGATCCCCTCCAGAGCTGCACCGATCCCTCGAGGTGGTGGAAGCTAAGCAAGGAAATTAACAAATACGGAGCCAGAGCCTTTCTTGGCCCGGCCCGGCTGTTTACATCAGCCTCTGCCAAAGAGGAGAGGGCCAAGGCTCAGTGAAAAGGCTTCTTCTTTCTTTTGGAAAAAGTCAGAATAACAAAACCAAGGATTCTGGAGCCACAAAAAAGAGGGCCTTGGAAAGAAGCTGAAGGAAGCGGGAAGGGACGACCCGGACCCGTGAAAGAAATCAGTCATTGACAGGGGAAATGTTATGCCTGTGCTGGTGTCTTGGTTATTTATACGAGCGGAGGGTTTGGAATTCACCCCAGACCAGAGCCGTGCAGGCTGAAAATACCCAGTTTTTAGTCCCAGGGGGCTGGTGACCAAATGTTTTGCATTTCCATGGCACAAACTCCAGCAGAAATCAGGCTCCCATCATGCCAGGCGCTGCCCAGACCCCGACTGAGATCAGGGCCCCCCATGGTGCCAGGCGCTGCATAGATGCCCGTCACCAACAGGTGCCCCTTGTGCCAGGTACTACTGAGATTGGTGCCCTCACTGTGCCTGACGCTGCACAGATCCCAAACGAAAGCAGAGCCTGATCATGCCAGTCACTGTACATACGCACACTAAGAGACAGTCCCAAACCTGACCACCTAAATAGCCAAAGGCTATTTCAACCCATTGGCCAGGTGGGGAAACTGAGGCCCATGGAGACACTCCTCCCGATCTTCTGGATCCCCTTCCAGATCACCCGTCAGCCTTCTGAGAACTCTCTCCCCTGGGGTCAGGGAGGGGAGAGGGTTCTTCTCATACCAGAAATAAGATGGCAAGGGGGGGCGATCCTCACAGGAGCGGCCCATGCCAGGGGATCCAACGGAAGGCGGAGCAAAGGCCCATCCACCTGCACCTGGGGGCTGGAGAACGCTGCCCGTCGTGGGCTTGGCTGAACCGGCTCCCAGCTCGGCGGATCCTGACCTGGTTTGGTTTCGGTCGCTCCTTATTTCGCTTGCCCACCGGCGGCGGTGGCTGGCACCAGCAGAGGCAACGGGTGGCCTTTACCCTGTCAAAGCTGCAACCCCGACAGGGTCGATCAGCCCAGCTGTGCGAGGCGAGGCTGGGAGCCAGGACGCCTGGGTTCTCTCCCCGGCTCTGGGAGGGGAGTGGGGGCTGGTGGTTAGAGCAGGGGG